AAATGATTAGATTACTTATATTTTTTGTTCAAAATCACCATCGACGACCATTTGTGACAATGCAATCACCGAAATGGGCAAAAAATGTAAGTAATGTAATCATTCTTGTATGCAAACCTTAAATCTCTTCATCAACAAACAACATTGTGAACTTTCACCAATATCCCCTGTTTCTATTCATACAATATGTGAAATTTCAAATTGTTATTGTTCATGCCCTAATCGTTAATTTGAACCCTCAATCCCTATACCCAATTATATGGGTTTTTTCACCCAAAAACATTACAGTTACCATTATATTATGTTTAAATCTGTGAACATTCAAATGGATTGAAAGATGTTGGGCCAATCAAATTATTTCAGATGTTATTGTTGTTATTGTTGAAATATGTAAACATTCACATGGAATTGAAAATTGTTGGGCAAGCAAATTGTTTTAGTTGTTGTTGTTGAAAGATGTGAACATTCATATGAAATGTTGGGCCAATCAGATTATTTTAAATGTTATTGTTGTTGTTGTTGAAAGATGTAAACATTCACATGAAATTGAAAATTGTTGGACACACAAATTATTTCAGTTGTTGTTGTTGCTATTGTTGAAAGATGTGAACATTCACATGAATTAAAAAATGTTGGGCCAATCAAATTATTTCAGATGTTATTGTTGTTGTTGTTGAAAAATGTGAACATTCATATAGATTGAAAATGTTTGGCCAATCAAATTGTTGTTGTTAACCGTAGTGAACATTCACATGAAAACAAAGAATCATGGTCCAATTTCCTTGTATCAGATGTTATTGTGATATATAATTATGTTGTGAACATTCACAACATGTGTAAATTAATTAGACACTTTGTGAACATTCACTACTATATTTAGAAGAAATATATCACTTTTGTTATCTCATGTTTGAAACCATATTTCAATTTTGAGGTTGTACTATAAAATTGGCATAACATGATTGTAATAAGTCTGTGTATTGTTAGCCAAATTAGTACTGTGAATGTTCACAACATCCTTTAATCTATTTGGGTTAACATCCATATGTTCTTGAATGTTGTTCATCAATCTATAAACACACATTGATTTTTACACACACACACACAATGCACATTGTGTTTTTGTTGACAGAGTGAACATCCACATCTATGGACAGATGTGGATATTCGCATCCATGCACATAACTGTAGACATTCACACCCATGCACACAACTGTGAACATTCACATCTATGCCAATGTTGTGAATGTTTATATTTGTGCCACTATTTTAATCACATAAGCCTTGCCTTAATTTTTTTTATGCTTTATTTTGCAAATATTGCACAGAAGCAAAACCTCAAAGCGAAAAAGAGATAAGTATCATGTCTAAGAAGAAAGCCCACATGCAAACACTAGCAACAATGTTGACATGCGGCAGGTCGACCCACCGTTTGTGTCTTTCCGTTCTCCAACCATTCCACCGTTATCGAAGTGTTGTCGGCTATTGGAACCATACTCCAACGAAGAATAAACAACACTATGAAGATTTCTATTTATCAGAGTGTATCAACTCAACATGGAGACTAAATGTAAGCACCTTTTTTTCCTTTTTTGTGTAATCAAATTACATTTTTTTGGTCCTAATGCAAACTTTCTCACATGTTACAATTATTATTTTTGGTCCTTATTGTTCATGATTTTGTTGTTATTTTTCCTCTTTTTGTTATTGTTGGTATTATTGAAATTATGTAAACTCCCAAATTTGTTGCTTTCCTAGAAAACAGAAAATTGTCGTTGTTTCGGATATTGTTGTTGTTGGCATAATGCCAACATTCACATGAGGACATGTCCTGAATAAATTTGTTACATGATTGTGAACATTGTGTCAAGCAAATCTCCAAATAAAAACGTTTCTTCTACTTGTAATTCAATTTTGACGTGAACCTTGACATTGTGAGCGTTAATGTTATTCATATTTATCCACTTATTATTCACATCATAGTTCTGTACATTGAAAATATGTGGTTTGTGGGTAATGAATGGTGATGCTGTCATGTTGTTTGGTTGTTTATAGCCACTATGAATATTTACATTGGTGTTATTTGCTTATAAATGTGTACATATAATCATTGTCATACTGTGAATTGTTGTAACCAAATGTTGATGTGAACTTTAACATTCTCTTCTATACACATAGACATACCTAATATTATATGGATGTTTAAATATTAACATTTGGTGTGACCACTACTATTTGTACCCTAGTAGTAATGTGAATATTCACATCTACAATGATGTGAATGTTCACATTGCTATGTTTGTCACTTAAATAGCACTTTATTGCTTTTGCTTATATGAATATCGTTGAATGTGAACATCCACACTGATTAATGATGTGCTGATGTCAATGTACATGCCTACCCTACAAATTCTATTGAAATCAAATTTAATGTTCATACAAACACTCACTATTTGTGTATGCCCATGTAACAGATGTTGCATCTAAATTTTGCACAAAAAGGAAGAGAGAGGATTATTATGTCAAAGAAGAGAGTATGCCTCTAGAGAGCAACACCCACATCGACATTCGACATGTCAATTATTGATCAAACATTATAGGCTAAGTAAAACCGATGAGAAGCAACAAGTTCTCGGATTTTCAGCTGGACTACTTGAGGCAAACTTTGTTGTTCGATAGTTGGGGTTGTCCACTATTCACTAGCTATACCAGAATACAGTGCTAGTTTTTTTTTTTTTTTTTTTTTTTTTTTTTTTTTTTTTTGTAACTTTGATAACTTGCTGTTGAAAACACTTGACAGCATATATATAAATCAATGATATACTTCTCACATGCCTATGCTTTTTGATGGTATATTTGGTGTTGATGTGTTGCGTGTGCTAAACAATATAGACTGTGAACATTCATATCTGTTTTCTTATGTTGAAGTTTATGTGAATGTTTACATCTTAATGTATGTTCAATAAATGTGAATGTTCAAATTATGTCTTATGTTTATTGTGGTTAACTACAGATGTTAATATTCACATTGTACATTAATTATATGTATGATCATATTAGAATAAACGTGAATCTTCACGCCTATTTATTGCATTGTGAATATTCACATCAAACTGTGGTTGACCACAAATGCTAATATTCACATTATACATTAATTAGGTGTACGACCCATGAACAAACATATCATAATTAATATGAATCTTCACATTTATTTATTACATTGTGAATATTCACATCATGTTTGTGTCTAAAACAAAATGGTCCTTGAATATTCATATCATCAATATTGCATACTGGTAATGAACACAACAAAAACATATACACCATTCAATATTATATAAGTGTAAATATTAACATTAATTGGCAATACATATGACAAAATTCTAGTACAAAAAACCAAAAATCCAGAAACAAAAAAACCCATAAAATCTCAAACTCTCCAAAAACAAAAAAACCATCACCCACATTCTCATTTTCATCATTATCACTACCATGTAATTCCAACATTACATCAATCCAACAACAACCTCTGCGTGTTGAACTCTTATTGATTTGGCAAGTAAGAACATACTTTGAAGATCATCATCACTGTCCAAAACAACACCTATTAATCCCAAGTAGTCGATAGAACAATGAAACACAATCAGTAGATAACGCGCTCCATTTTTCACACACACACTCCACGAAAAGTGAACAAGACAGGGCTTGCACCACATTTATTACAATAGTACTACACCCATATGAGCACACCACCAACATAAATGTATCCATCTGCTGCAAAAATACAAAAATAAGGAAATGAATAAACACATTATAGCCAATGATATGTGAACATTTACATTGTTCACATATTCTGAATTATCTAACCAAACAGAGATGAAACAAAACAAAGAAGTGAATATTCACATCATTTTTGTATCTAAATAAACATTGTGGCTTGTGATTATATGATTGAATACAACGGTCTGATGTGAACTTTAACATTTTGCATAGTGGCAATGAATACAGTGAAAATATATACACTATCCAATATTATATGGATGTGTGAATATTCACACTGATTGATAAAACAAATGACAAATTTCCATTATAGATAATGTGAATATTAGCACTGATTAATAATGAGGTTAACAAAAAAAATCAAAATAACTGTATATGCAAATTTTCACTAATGATCCACCACAATCAATTTGTTCAAACAACTATATATGCATCTCTGTTACATATCCGAAACTCAAACAACAAAAATATACATGCATTACTAGTAAAAAAATCAGAACCTCATTCATCAAACATGCACTTGTATTACCCATGTATTCTAGAAAATGCACATGAATAAAAAACAGAGCATGCAATCCTTCACATAAATGAACATGCATTCATAAACAAAATGATACTATCATTGAGAAAGAAATTCTATAATCGTTCTCCACCTCCGATCAATGGCTGATCTCCAACAAGTACGTAACGTATCAAAGCACACAAAAACACCAAAACTCCAAAACTGAATCAACAAAAAAATAGGAAACGTGTTATGTATTAACACAGTGTGTGTGTGTATATATATATATATAAGGGCATAATAGTCCAGGTAAAAATATAAAATTAGTAAAATGGACCTTATGGAATAAAAATAAAAATATATGGGACTAATTAGGTTATAATATTCCTTTGTGGACCTAATGGTTATAACAATTCTAAAATGGATTTATCAATAAAAATCTCTTGTTAATTTTTAAGAAGGAACATATTTTGAAACAATAAAAAAAGAAAAAAAATACTTGATGACTCAAATTTGTGTAACTTGAATATGTCCAAACGATGTCATTTTACATTTGATCTGTTTGAGCAAAAAAAAAAAAAGAAAAAAATTCAAGTTGTTGAAATAAAAATTAAAAAAAAATATTTTGAAACGGGGGAGTAGTTAACTGGCGCGAACGGCCACTACTATATATACGAAAAAACAATGGAAAAAAAAAAGGGGTTTTGTGATCAGCGAAATGGGCGGTCGACCCTCTCTTTCACAGCACATATTATCAGATCAAACCCTAATACCTCCTCGGCTGCTTTGCCCTGTCCATTGCTGTAAAGTCCCGTTCTTTTGCTCTAATCCTGTGTGTTATCATCTGGATTTTACAATTTTATTTATTTATTTATTTATAAATTTCTGTTTTTGTTGTTATCATTCTACATTTACATATTCTTCTAGTCTATATTTGGGTTGACATACAGGCAAAGGAGAAACTGCTGATCATCAACAATCCCTTGGGGCCTTTAGGGTTTTCTTGTATTCAATCAAGTAAGTTCAATTTCTTCGACTCTTTTTATTTATTTGTTTATTTTAATTTACAATGTCTGTATTTATAATCATGAATCGTGCAAAAACCTTTGTAGAAAACCCAGTTGCCCAATCGAACATGTCGTAATCCAAATTCAATAGTACCCCCAAAAACCCAATACAAAGCTGCAAATTTTGGGTTAATTGCTCTGAGAAACAGCAAAAGAGCTTTCATTTCATGTTAAATTGATTGTGGTTAATGGGTTCATTGAACATCTACAAATGCAAAGCCCTAAACCAAGTTAGAATTTTTGAATTTTATGGAAGTTTATGTTTTTATTTTATCCCACCTCCTATGAACTCAAAACATACCGATTATTATTTCTTATTTCACAATTCCATTTACTTCCAAAACTTTTGCACAACAACACAACAACAAAACCCATTTCAATTCAACAATCTCGAGAAGAAAATTGAGCCTGATTAATTTCTTGGAATTTCTTGCTATAGTTTGCTAATTATTTTTATTGCAATTGTGAATTTGCTGCCAGCACAACATCAGGACTTTAGCCTGATTAATTCAGGGCATCGTTAAATTTGTTAGAAAATTGAAATACGTCTCTCTCTCACATTTAGGCAAGCAGTTCTCCCTTTTAACTTTTTCTTAAACCTCTTCCAGGCTGTACCCTAAGGCTCAATTTGGCTTTCAGAAGAATTGATGGAACTGAAAAGGAATGCTTAAAGAGGTCAAATTTGTACAGTAAGTTTCTTAAACCTGTTTCTGTTATCTTGTCACATTCTTGCCAATACCCAAACAAAGGAAAAACTGTTTTTTCCCGTTGTTTATTTGTTTATTTATTTTCTTTAATAACTTTCACAACCTGGATTTTCGTTTTGACATTTTTAGGCTAAGTTTTAAATTTGATCTAACCTGGTCTTAGAGAAGAGAGTTCAGAGCTCATAGCCATAGGAGCTGTATAAACATCAGCACTTGAAAACATTTGATGGAATTTTATGAAAGTAAAATTACTTCACAATTTCCTCAGTTTGGTGCAAGGTTCAAGATACATTATTTTGTAGTATTTATGTCCTTCATTTATCCTAAATGTTTAATTTAAATGCTCGTGATCAGCCTTATTTTGTCCATTTCTATGGACTCTTTTGTGTTCTTGTAAATTTAATTTTGTGCCTTTTCCCCTCCACTGTGCAGCACGGTTGCTATTGTTGAGATGGCATAGGTCCTAAACTACACAAGCAATGGAGTCAGAACCTGGGAGTGGAAATATTAAGCATTCTACGGTGCCTACTGAGTCTTCTCATGCTAATGGTGATCCAGTTGTTAAAGGAAAACTGTCACGTTCCTCTTCTTCGTCATCTGATTCATCTTTTGATCCTTTAACTGAATCTGACAATGGCAAAAAGGAAGTTCTTGATAATTCTAATTTATTGCCTGAAGGTTTGTCTCAGACACCCGATTGGAGCATGGTAAGTTCATCGCCAAGGGCTGGACCAGGACCCTTATCATCACCAGAACATTCCCTTCAGATTCCAGAGTGGAGAACGCTAAGTGCATCTCCAAAGCAATCCCCTCCTACACAAATGATGGGGCGAGCTGGTTCTGAGTATGACCCAAATAGAATTCCGTCATCCGTTTTTGCTAGCAAACCTTCCACACCTATGGAATGGAGCGTTGCTTCAAATGAGTCATTGTTTAGCATTCACATGGGGAATAACAGTTTCTCTAGAGATTATGCTATTATGTTGTACAAGTCTGGAGAACTAACCAAGCCTGATGATATTAACAACTTTAAATCCAACCAACGACCTGTTACTGAAGCTAAGTCCAATGAGTTGAACAATGCACCATCTAGCCTGCCCACTGTAAATGAAGTAGCATCCGACAATCACGGGAGTGCTAGTAATGCGGAGGACTCTCATGTAAAAGCATCAGCAGATGAAATGCCAAAGGAAACTCAGAGTAAGGGAAGCAGGCCTCCTTCTGAGGGGATCCATATTTCAACAAGTGATTCGAATGTGTCTGATGGTAAAGAAACGCCTCCTGCTGATGGTGTACATACTTCTGCTAGCACCCCTCGCCTTTCTGATGAGAGTGGTAACAGTAGCAGTTCCTTTGCATTCCCAGTGTAAGTTGTTTCGTTCTTACACATCTGGGTGGAAACAGTTGTGTGAATTTCCTACGGTTGCATGAATGACTATGGTTGCATGAATGTCTCCTAAGCACTTTTTGTCATACATTCCTAATCTTCCGTTCGTTTGAGCATTGTCTAACGATTTGAATTTGGCCAAACTAACGTGTTTGTTTTCATCTACCCATGAACTTTATTTTCACTTTCTCAACACAATGTCTCTGTACCTTGTCTCCTTTGCCATAGACTTATGGAAACATTCTTTCTGTCTTTCAATTTTTTTTCTTTTTCTCTAGTAGGGAATTCATACCTTTTGTGCACTTGAAGTTGAAGTACATAATCTAACTGTTTTTTATTATCTAAAATTATCTTGGTTCTGAATATTATGTGAAGTATAGTTCCTTGGTGTTACCTGAAGCATTATACTTTCTTTCTGTATTCATTTCAGATTGACCGGCGAAGCTGGAAAAATTCCCTCAGTGAAGGTTGCTCCTGAAAATTTACAGTCGAACCCCCCTGAGAAACCAGAATCGCAGCCACAAGCCCCGGTGGCAAACCCCCCAAAACCTGCTGAGACGAAATGGTTCTCTTGCTTCCCTTGTTGCTAGCTTGGCTGTTGAGACAGTGAATGCCTCCTAACTTGTTCTCCTGATTTGGAGATCTGAAATTGGGCCTATGACTACAAGTTTATTGCACTTTTTTAAGCATAATGAGTCCAATAAAAAATGAGAAGTTTCGGAGTTTGAAGCTAATTATTAACCGTTTCTGTGTATTTGTTGGGTCATACAGTTTCCTTTGCATGTTTGTGCATCTGATGTTGAGCAGTTGGGTTTTAGTTTGTAGCTAGACTATATGAATCTGTATGAGGCGGATTTGGATTCGGATTGTCCATTATCGGATCTGTTAAATTCGGATTGGATTCTTCTAGATCTGCTCTAAATCCGATCCGTTGACAGGCCTAGTCTAGCTATTTTTATTAGTCGTCTGTCCATTTTAATCTGCAATTCATGGTTCTGATGGAGTTTTTAATCAGTCAAATAATGTGGTCTACAGTCCTTTATCCTTTTTTAATTTTTTCTTCTTGGATATAAGAACCCTAAATATGCTTAATTTCTTATTTTGTTTTACTTATGTGCTTCGGAAATGAAAGTAGGATTAGGTCTTATGAATGTTATAGATTTTTCTTTTCTTTTTTTTTCCTGTTTACATTTCCTTCGAGAAAATTCCTTTTCACCCTCCCAAAAAAACCAAAAATAGAAAGAATCTTATATACTCCTCATCTATGTTAGTTGGATAATTAGATGCAAGAATTATTTTTCTTTCCTTTTTGATTTTGTTGTACAATTTGAAGCATGTCTATGTGCAAAATGCAATCATATGAGAGGCATGTTTGGTATAAAAGAAGATTATTTCTTCAATAATCTATATAGGAATACTTTTATTTAACACAACCTGTCAAAAATTTTGCTAATTTTTCTCATGTTGTTGGATCATATAGGCTGTTTGATGTCGAAGTTTTAGAATATGATTAATAAGCCATTAATATGTTTATTTAAAGGACCTAAACAGCCTGTTTGATGTACAAGTTCTTGGAATTAGCCTTTGCCATGAATAGCCAAAAATTGAATTGAATATTTGGATGGTGATTTGGCAATTCTGCCTTCACATGGAACAACTTAAACATTTGCTCCTCATTACATGATTGTTGTCGATGATTTGGCAATTTTTTTTTTTTGATTTTTTAATTTCTTTCTAATCATGAAATAATGGGATCCAGTGTATTGTGTAAAGCACAGCAGTGACTGTTGTGCAACCTATGTGGGACTCATTTCGGATCTTATTTTGATGATCCGAATCGTTTAAATTTATGAAATATCGAGAATAATATACTTGTAAAAAATCAAGTTAATCAGATATCAATAACTTGTTTATCAAATCACAGCTTTATATAAAAAAATGAATATGTATGTATTAAACTAAATACAAATGTTATTTGATAAAGATGTTATTAATATCTGATTAACTTGATTTTTTTATAGGTATATTGTTCTCGATATTTTTAAAATTTGAACGATTCAAATCATCAAAATAAGACTTAAAATGAGTTTCACGGATTGCACAACAGTTACTGCTGTGCTTCACGCATAACAGTGACATTGGATTCGAAATAATATCATTTTTTTACCCTACTTAGTCCCATTTTTCACGGTGCGCCAGTGGTTATTTGATATATCATACACTAATCAATATTAACAGTTAAATTTGGATGAGAAGAAAATTTATTAGTAATGTGTAAAACTAGAAGAAAAATGAAGTAATTTTTACTTGCTATATATAATGTGATAAAAAAAATAATATTTACTTCTTATTGGAATTGATAATTTTATTTGTCATACAATACGATCTATTTATTATTTATTATATTTTTCAAGGAACGATACACCAAAACTGTTGTTGGTGCATTGTAATTGGACAGTAAAAAATTCTATTTTTTTGAAAAATAATATTAAATTATTAGTTTTTTTTTTTAAATGTATATATATATATTTTATTTATCATAAGGAGTATTAGTTTGTTATTAGGTATGGAACCTTAACAAAATCTAATGTATCTGCTAGTCATAATTGAATTAAAAAAAATTAATATAAAATAATAATAAACACCTAAGCTAACCTGATTAGGCCAATAATAACTCTCTTTTTTGGTTTCATACTTTGGTTACCATATCTTATAGAAATGTGATAAAGTGATATGCACCAGATTAAGCAGGGAAAATTTGCAGTAAAAGGGAAACAGGAATGGATTATTGATATGTAATGGGAGAATTAAATAAATTACAACATACATGGAAGTTTCTAACGGTATGACAAAAATATGTAAAATTATCAAAAGTGGTTCTCTTGATTTCCTTCTCTCCTCTCATTTCCCAATTTCGCCTGCCATCGCCAGAGCCTCTCCTATCCTCTTTCTTTTGCTTTCTTCACTCTCTTTGAAATCCCAACCACCATTGTGACCATTCCAATTCTGTAACCATCACGACCAAATTACGACCATCGCGAAACCTTAGCAACCGTGTTTCTTTCTCTTTTTCTTTTAAATCTATTTTAGGGTTTTGAGATTTGAGATCTAATCCAAATCTAAGATTTGGGATTTCTCTCTCTCTTTTATGCTATATGTTTGGTTGGGAGACTGTATTTAGTTGAGAGGTTTGAGGAAGTCTGTGTTTGGTTGGGAGATTTGAAAAATGATTTAAATTTAGTTGAGAGGTTTGAGGAAGTCTGTGTTTGGTTGGGAGATTTGAAAAATGATTTAAAAAGAAAAATGCAAAAAGTAGATGAAATATGAATAAATTTTACTTAATTTTACACACCTTTTCTATTTTCCTTTTGAAATTCCTTTCCAAATTTACAAACCAAACACATCATTAGGATTTTGTTTAAGGTTGTGGTCTCTAATGGCACTTGGGATTTCTGAGATGATGGTGGGTGGTGGAGTTTTGTGGTAATGTAGGTTGAAGGGTTGGTTTGGGTTGTGAGCTAGGGTTTTGATGGTGAACTTATTAGTTGACATTATAAAAAATTAAAGTTTTAGATATCAAAATTTGGGAACAAAATTATTTTTTAGAAATCAAATAATTTTGTTACAAAAAGTGTCATCTTTATATTTTTAGTAACAAAAATTGTACATTAGTGATGAATTATTATCCTTTTAGGATCAAATTTTGTTTCAAAAAATAAATTATTTTTAGAATAAATTATTTTGTCCTTAAAAGTCTATTTATTAGTGACATTTTTAAAATTTTGTTGCTAAAAGTCTTATTTTGATTTTTCAAGATGACCTTTTAGCGATTATTTTCATGACGATAAAATTTATCCGTAAATGTTTTTTTGCAACAAAATTCTCAATTTTAGAGATTAAAATATTTGATTTCTAAAACTCTTATATGTTGTATTGTGAAGAAGAAATAATGGGTGAGGGTTTCAGTAGTAGTTGGTGATAGTATGGTGGCAAGTGATGGTGGTTCTAGGAGTGTGATAGGGGGTTTATTTGAGCATCAATGAATGGTAACAGAGACGGGGGGATGGTAAGGAAAAAGTGGGGGATGGCAGAGGGACAGTTTGACGTAGTGGCCGGTGGCATCCACCAAAGGTGCATAGGGTAAGTGGATAAAGGTTGACAAGGAGACAAGAAAATGAAATGGTTATTTTGGTCTTTTCAACTAATGATTTCATGTCCTTCCATTTATGTTGCAATTATAAGGAACATACCACCGATTTGAAATTATTCTTTATTCTTTTTTCTTTTCTTTTTTTTTTTTGTTTTTGTTTTTGTAATTTTCCATATAAGCATATGCTCCTCTCTTGCTAAAAAAAATCTTTGACTGCATATTTTGAAATATACATGCTCCTAGTTAGAAGTGTTCAAATAATTGAATCATCTAAATAAATTACTCAAATTTGACCAATTCAAACATGCTACGAACGGTTTCAAATTAAATTCGGTCGGGTGTAGTTTAAGATAGTCTCACGAAACCGAACCAAAATGAGATATTTATAGATGTTGCTACATTGGCCACGTGTGGACTTGACTGGCTTATTGAATTAGGTTTATATTTTCAAGACTAAGATTTATCTCCTCTCGCCTCTTCAATTCATCTCTCTCACTCTCTTGTCCTTCCCAAAAACACCGTCCTCTCAATCTCTCTCTCTTGCTAGCAATGGTGCTTTCTCATGCTTTAACCCTCTTGTCTCTCTCTCTCTCACAATGACACAATCTCTTACTCGAAACCCTTTTTCTTCTATAAATTTCTTGTTTCCAATAGAAATGGTGCTAAATGATAATGATGCTAAGATCTATGAGACGATGACGATGATGCTTAGATTTGTGACGATTGTGATGATGGTTGCTTAGATCTGTCTCTCTCTTTACCACTCCACTATTAAGTCTTTTCAGATTTGTGATGAATGTAATGATGATGCTTGGATCTAAGTGACGGTAAGCTTTTCTTTTTACCACTCCACTCTTAAATTTCTCAAATTTGTGACAATTGTGATGATGGTGCTTAGATCTAAGTGACGACAAGCCTTTTTCTTTACCATTCCACTATTGAGTCTCTTAGATTTGTGACAATTGTGATGATGGTGCTTAGATCTAAGCAGATCTGTGACGATTGCGATGATAGTGCTCAGATCTAAGCGATAGTAAGCCTCTCTTTTTATTGCTCCACTCTTAAGTCTCTCATATTTGTGACGACTGTGATGATGGCGCTCAGACCTAAGCGATTGTAAGTCTTTCTGTCTCTGTATGCATTTTCTTCTCTTAAGTCTCTCTATTCTTTTTTAAATTTGTTTGCATGTTCAAAAAATTGTTCGAATCTCTCATATCTATCTCTTTCGCTTCATTTATACATGTTTGAATTTGAGATTTGTTTCGATCAAAATATAAGAGAAAAAGTGAGAAATAGATTGAGTTGCGTATGTGCCTTGCTAATCGAATTGAGCACCAATCCGAATGGTGGGTCACAATCAATTCAAATATACTCTTGATTTGTAGTGAGTGGCCTTTTTTCTAATGTGATACGATCAATTTGGTTAGCGCCTTGATGGTATACTCAATTTGAATTGACCAGTAAACATCTTTATTTGTTGTTATTCAAAATTTTAATATTTTTATTAAATTTATTAATTGCTTTGATTAACTATACATATGGGTGTAGGCTCGACATTTATGTAGAGCTTTAATACATTTAAACATACATTATACATATAAATAATTCAATTAAAACTTTTGAAAAATTATTTTTGACAAAAAATTATTGTCTTGTGCATCACACAAGTCAACTACTAGTTATATGTTATTAAACTTTCTTACATATTTAGTAGTTGAGCCGTACGATGCACAATACAAAATAATATTTTTTCAAAAATAATATTTTAAAATTTTTAATTAAAATATTTATATGTGTGTATATATGTACATACGTATAAAATTAATTTAAAAAATATTTAATAAAGCTATAAAAATGTGACTTGAAAATCAATAATGTTTAGGACCCTCTTTTGAGGAGATCCCCATCACCCCCAAAGTGATGTGGACCAATAATATATATATATATTTTTTTTTATCTTACGTGGACCAATGAGTGGGGATTGTGAGGGTGATATTTTGTGAGGGTCTAAATTAATACTGCGCCTTCACACATGAGTATGCACCTACAGACGTGTGTGGACCACAATCAAGTGAAAAGGTTTTAGTAATTCAACAAAGATATGTAACAAGTTTGTTATAAATATTCAAATTTGGGTTCTATATATCTTTGGAAATGAAGAATGTCCACGGAAAATGATGTAACGTACCATATACTCAAACAGACCTTTTACGAAAGAATTTGGACTGTTAAAGAGTAGGCCCACTTAAAAATTATTTGATGGCGGAATAGGGTAAATTATTAATGTGCTAATAATTTAATTTAATTTAATTTTTATCAAAATTTATTAAAAATAAATTATAGCAAAATTATCGTTAAAAATATTTTTTTTGAAATATTTTTTTATATGTTATTAAAAATTAAAAATTAGTGACTTTTGTTACGATTTTTATAAATTGTTGCTAAAATTTACAATTAATGATATTTTTCTGTGACGAATTTTTCAAACTGTCACTGAAAGTTAAAAATTAGTGACTTTTTTTTATGACGATTTTTTTAAACTGTCGCTATAATTTATAATTAGTGACTTTTTATAAGAATTTTTAAACTATCATTGAAAATTAACATTTAGTTACGCTTTTTAATAATGTTTGATGAAAAATACTATTAGTTCTCACATGATCTATTAGATAATAAGCTTACATATTAAGACCTACATATAAGTCCTTCAAAATAATAATATATGTAGTGCCTTGACATAATTTTAATATAATTTGATTCGTTGAGTAGGGATTTAATATTTTCTTTTGTTGATTTTTTGAGAGATAACAAGTGTCATTTTATGAATGGTGAGGGATATTACTTCAAAATTATCGAATAATCTCTCTTATCACAGACAAAGAGATTAGTCGGTGATTTTCAAGCAATACTCTTTGAAAAATATTAGTGGTCCCAAATTTTTTACCACTATAATGTGTGGATCCACGCTTAGATACTATTTGACATCTCTTATAAAAATTTAAATTTTTTTTAAGTCACATTATATCTCTAATATTTTACACATCTTTTCATAAAAAATTAAAAAATATATTTATTTAGATCATTTAAATCACCCTCTTATGTGAGACTCATACCCATATAAGACACTTGATAAAATTTTATATAATCTATATCATTTATCACTCAATACTTATTAAGTTTTCATCAAATTATTTCTTAAAAACTTAACAAAAAAAATATTAAATTTCACTATTTTAATTAATACATATAAAATTAGGACAATGGCCTTATAATTTTTCTAAAAAGACCACATCTGTCACCAAGGATCCTCTAGAGTGATTTTTCTCTCAACCACACAATGTAGCACTTTACGAAATTTTAGGGAAAAATCACTCTAGAGGATCCTTGCTCCACATCTATAAGCATAAAAATCCACGTGGACATCTCGGCACACGTGTCAGACATAAAAACAAATAACTTTTAGCCAGTAAAAAGCAACCGGTTTTGCCGGTGAGAGTCTCCTTGGGCTGGGCCCTTGACGGGCTGCTGCATTTATTGACCGGCAATGGGCCCACCATCAGGACACCCGAAACAAAAACACAACCCCACCAAATATATATACATAATAAGCGTGGTAATTAAGAGCTTTAATAATAAAACTTTAATAAGAACATTAGTGACGTGGTAATATAAAAAAAAAATATAAACAAACAAAACAAAGGTGAAAATATCAAATCGTACAGTGAGGTTCACAGGTTAGAACTCTTCTAGAGCTCACAATTTAAAGGTCTAAAGTATTTTTCATATAATAAATTTCATAATTTTTAACATAATAATTATTATATTTAATTTTCTTAAAATATTAATTTTCATAATATTTAATTTTATTTTTATCAATAATTTATTAATCATATTTATATTGAAATATATATATGTTTAATTCTTTCCATCAATTACATTTGTTTTAATTTGTTTAATATTAAAATAGAATCAATATAATTATATTACAATTGTAAAATTTATTATATTTTTTAATAAATTTAAGAGAAAATCAGTGTAATTTACTCAAAAGTTTTGTTTGATTAATAAGATTAATTGCAAGAAAATTAGTAATATATGAGATTAATGTGAATATAGTGTTATTATTGTGCCAAGAGCAAAACTATTGTGCTCGATGGAGGTTCATTACTGATTTATTTTTATGATTTGAATAATTTATTTTACAAGATTTGTTAAGTAATTTATATTTAAAAAAATTATATTAATCTAACATTAATAGCATGTGATAAAAAAAATTACTCCCTCCGTTTCAAAATATTAGTTCCTTATTCCATTTTTCATTGTCCCAAAATATTAGTCCCTCTTTATAAATCAAGTACAAAAATAATGTAAATTTTTTATTTTACCTTTCTTTTAAATTAATAAACAATTTAAAATGTACAATTATGACATTGATATTTTTAAAAAATGTACTATCAAAAAGGTAATTTTGAAAAATCAACTTTTTTCAAATACAATAAGTGTATTATCAAAAAAAGTTAAATTCCTTAAGAGTGACCAATATTTTAGGACGGGGAGTATATATATATATATATTTTTGTTGGGTTGTCTTTTTGTTTGGGGGTATACTGACGGTGGGGCCCATTACCGGTCTATAAATGCATCAGCCAGTCAAAGGCCCAGACCAAGGAGACTTACCGGCCAAACCGGTTGGGTTTTACGGGTAAAAGTTTTTTTTTTTTAAACTAGAAAAAAATTTCTATGTCTGACACGTGGGTCGCATCGATGTCTGTCCACGTAGATTTTCGATTCAGCAAAATTAGGATACAAAATACTTTATCAAATTTTTAACATAACACAACCCACACTCCAAATTTAATAAAATTTTTGGTAAAATATTTAAGGTGTTTAACATTCTTACTTTTGATTCCTACAAGTGTAGTCTTTCATGGAAAAATTATTTACTAATCTTGGGATGTCTATATAGTGTTGTAAGGTCTCGTTTGGGAACAGACTAATTTAATAACTTTTTAGTTATTTGGCTAAAATATGAATTAAAAAAAATTAGTATGTTTGAGATGACTTTTTATGAAAAGATGTGCAAAAAATAAATAAAAAAAAGAATCTTTGACTTTTTGGTATAAGTTATTGACTTTTTGACTAATTTAGTAACTTTTTAATTTTTGACTAAAATGGAGGGTTCCCAAACGAGACCTAAAAATAATTTCAATGTTACTTTTCATTATTTATTGACTATATTTTTGTATTTATATATTTCAACGTTTCTCTTTATTATATTTATTTATTCACACAATTTGTTTAAAAGATTTCTCAAGATTCTAAATGTAGCTAGATTGGAAGATTTTTTCGTTAGAACAGTTACTGTAATAATTAATTCATTAGACTAAATGAAATAGAATGAGACTAACTATAATAGTCAATAGATTAAAAATATTTTAACTTGATATTTATTAATTAAAACAATGAAACTTAATATTTATTGTTGAATTTTTTAGAGACAACTTGATAAGAGCTAAATAATAAATAATATAGAGTATTGTTTCAAAATCACGATCTGACGTCTCTTCATGATAACTTAATTACAATTTATAAATAGAAATTTTAATAAAAATTTTGAAAGAAAAAATAAAAAATAAATAAAATATGATTACATTTGATTTATATTTTACATTAAATTCATGCTCTAAACACAAAAGTTTAAATCTTTAAAAAAAATAAAAAATAAAAAGATTTTGAAGCTCACCACCCCTACAACAAAAACAAAAACAAAAAGTGGCTAGTAAAAAAGAATGAAATGAATACAAGAACAACGCGTTTTCTCAAAGAACCCACTGTTGAGTCTCTCTCTCTCTCTCTCTCTCTATCTGTCTCTCTCCTCTGCCCACAGAGCTCCCAACTTAGGGTTAGGGTTAGGGTTTTGAACCAAAAAGCCCTCATTTTTTGTCCGCTAAACAATTTGAGAGAGAGTGACAGGGGTTGAGGGGTTTTCTAGGGTTATTCTTTGACGCTTTTAGGGTTTTGAGTGATGGGTCGTGGTTGGTCTGTGATCAAATGGTACCATCTTCACAAACCCTTGAAATTGTTCCTTCTCTTCTGGGTCTTGGTTCAAGCTCACTGCAACGTTGTTTCCGGCGCCGATTCCGACAAATCGGCGCTCTTGCAGCTCAAGGCCTCAGTCTCAGACCCTTCTGGAGTGCTCGCGAGCTGGAATTCAAGTGGTTCTGATCACTGTTCGTGGTTCGGTGTGGCTTGCGATTCGAATTCTCGGGTTGTGGCTCTCAACATCACTGGTGGAGGTATTTCGAGCTCTTCCTCTTGCCCTAAATTTGCTCAATTTCCACTTTATGGGTTTGGTATTAGGAGGACTTGTTTTGATAGTAATGTAAAATTAGTGGGTTTGCTTTCTCCGGTGATTGGGAACCTTTCTGAACTTAGGGTTTTATCACTTCCTTTCAATGAATTGAGTGGTGGAATTCCTGGTTTGATTTGGGGTATGGAGAAATTGGAAGTTCTTGATCTCGAAGGGAATTCGATAACTGGGTCGTTGCCATCTCATTTTGGGGCTTCGAGTAGTTTGAGGGTTCTCAATTTGGGGTTTAATAACATTGTAGGGGAGATACCACATTCACTGTCAAGTTGTAGGAATCTGCAAGTCTTGAATTTAGCTGGGAATCGAGTGAATGGGACGATCCCGGGGTTTGTTGGTGCTTTTAGAGATTTGAGGGGGCTTTACTTGTCTTTTAATCAACTTAGTGGATCAATTCCAAATGAGATTGCGGACAATTGTGGGACACTTGAGCATTTGGAGCTTGCTGGTAATTTCCTGGTTGGTGCGATCACAAGTAGTTTGGGAAATTGTAGGGCGTTGCGGTCGCTTGTCTTGTATTCGAACCTCTTGCAAGAGGTTATTCCTGTTGAACTTGGTCAGCTGACTAAGCTTGAAGTGTTGGATGTGTCGAGGAACAGCCTAAGTGGTCCAATACCTCGTGACCTTGGAAATTGTGCTGAATTATCTGTTCTTGTACTCTCAAGTTTGTTTGATCCTCTTCCAGAGGCTAATTATTCAGAAGCTGATTTGTTGTTAGGGCAATCTAGTCCTAAAGATGAATTTAATTTCTTCGAAGGTGGAATTCCAGATGAAATTGTGAGACTTCCAAAGCTCAAGATTATATGGGCACCAAGGCTACTTTTGGAGGGAAGTTTGCCCAGCAACTGGGGTGCTTGCGATAACTTAGAGATGGTGAACTTTGGCCAGAATCTTTTCACTGGGGGAATCTCTGAGGACTTCAGCCGCTGCAAGAATCTGCATATTCTTGATTTGAGCTTGAATAAGCTAACTGGGGAGCTCACTGAGAAACTTCCGGTACCTTGTATGACTGTTTTTGATGTCAGTGGAAATCTCTTGTCAGGATCAATTCCTAGATTCAAGTACAGTGCTTGCCCCCATATTCCTTCCTTGAGTGGATATCCTTTTGAGCCATATGACTTACCATCTGCATACCTGTCATTTTTTGCCAATAAAACACAGGCTGGAATTGTTTTTCCATTTATTGGAGATGGTGGTCTTGCAGTGTATCATAACTTTGGTGGTAACAAGTTCACTGGTGCTTTGCAGTCAATGCCAATTGGACTTGACGGATTAGCAGATCTGATTGTTTATGCATTTCTTGCTGGTGAAAACAATCTAACAGGGACATTTCCTGGAGATCTATTTGAGAAGTGCAATGTATTGAATTCAGTGATTATTAATGTCAGCAACAACAAAATTTCTGGTAAAATTCCAGCTCAGAATGGTTCAATTTGCAAATCTCTCAAACTTTTGGATGCCTCTGGGAATCAAATTACTGGGACTATTCCTCCCAGTTTTGGGGATTTGGCGTCTCTAGTTGCCCTTAATTTGAGTTGGAACATGTTGGAAGGTCCAATTCCAAGCAGCCTGGGCCAGATAAGTGGTCTCAAGTTTCTTTCTTTGGCTGGTAATAACCTCACCGGATCCATCCCTACAAGCTTGGGCCAGTTGAATTCTCTACAAGTGCTTGAACTTTCATTAAATTCTCTCTCTGGTGGGATTCCAAAAGATCTTGTGAATTTGAAGAACCTGACTGTTCTTCTACTCAACAACAATACGCTCTCGGGGCGGATTCCCTCAAGTTTGGCAAATGTGACTACACTCTCAATGTTCAATGTGTCCTTCAATAACTTATCTGGGCCACTGCCATTTAACAGCAACTTGATGAAATGCAGTAGTGTTCTTGGAAACCCTTATCTGGGATCTTGCCATCCGTACTCCTCAACGGCCCCATCTTCAGATCCACAGGGTTATTCACAAAATTATGCTGCTGCTCCATCTTCAAGCCCACCCCAGAAAAATAATAGTTTCAATTCAATTGAGATTGCTTCCATAACCTCAGCATCAGCCATTTTGTCAGTCCTTCTTGCTCTTCTTGTCCTCTTCTTTTACACTCGAAAGTGGAACCCAAGGTCCAGAGTTGGTGGGTCTTCAGTCAGAAAAGAAGTTACCATCTTCACTGATATTATTGGAGTTCCATTGACTTTCGAGGATGTTGTGCGGGCCACTGGGAGTTTCAATGCAAGCAACTGCATTGGGAGTGGAGGTTTCGGGGCGACGTACAAGGCTGAGATTTCTCCAGGGGTTCTGGTGGCAATAAAACGGCTTGCAGTTGGACGGTTCCAAGGGGTTCAACAATTTGATGCAGAAATCAAAACCCTCGGGAGGCTTCGCCATCAAAATCTTGTGACCTTAATAGGTTACCATGCCAGTGAAACAGAGATGTTCCTAATATATAATTATTTGCCTGGTGGTAATTTGGAAAAGTTCATCCACGAAAGGTCCACACGTGCTGTGGATTGGAGGATACTTCACAAAATTGCTTTGGACATAGCTCGTGCACTAGCCTACCTTCACGATCAGTGTGTGCCACGTGTCCTCCATCGAGATGTCAAGCCTAGTAACATCTTATTGGATGATGACTACAATGCATATTTATCCGACTTTGGATTGGCCAGGCTTCTGGGTACTTCAGAAACACATGCCACTACAGGTGTGGCCGGAACTTTTGGCTATGTTGCTCCAGAATACGCAATGACATGCCGTGTTTCAGACAAGGCTGATGTTTATAGCTACGGAGTGGTGCTGCTTGAGTTAATCTCAGACAAGAAAGCCCTCGACCCGTCATTTTCATCATTTGGCAATGGTTTTAATATTGTTGCGTGGGCGTGCATGCTCTTGCGACAGGGACGTGCCAAGGAGTTCTTCACTGCAGGTTTATGGGACGCAGGCCCACATGATGATTTGGTGGAAGTTTTGCATTTGGCTGTGGTGTGTACAGTGGACTCGCTCTCAACCAGGCCTACGATGAAGCAAGTTGTACGGCGGCTGAAGCAACTCCAACCTCCTTCATGTTAGGTACTTTGATGAGGCATCAATGGATTGACATAGTTTGTGTAGAAGGTAAAAAGCCCAATTGTAAGTTCTGCTTTGCACTCTCTGAGAAAGAAAAAAAAAGAAAAAAGAAGTGTTCTTGGTTCTTCTATGCGCTGGCTATCATACTCTTAGATTCAGTTATGAATTGTAGTTAATCCACATGTAAATTGTATTATACTTTTTCCCCCATTTTTCAATGTCATGCCCCTGGTTAAGGTCTGCAGAAGATTGCAGGTATTTGTGGTGCACGTTGTACACGTGTATCTCACTTTGATTTCTTGTTTTTAATAAAACCGAAAAATGTGAATGTTTCTGAGGAATCCTGCTGATTGCTTTTTCGAATCAGCTTGGTTATACTCCACAGGTGAAATATGTTGCATGAAGCATATTGGTTCGAAAATTTTGATGATGTTTTTCTGAGATCGGATATGGAAGAATGTTAAGGGTGGTTTGAGTTAACCTCGTGTATCTGTAACTACTGGAGTTTGGGACAACAGTTGCTGAACAGTTCAACCTATGAACTGTTCAGAATCAATCGCTTGTGGCTTCATATAGAATTGTTCTTTTTCTCATCCTTGTTTCTCATTGAACACTTGTATTGTTGAGAGAGGTTTGGCTCAGCTCAATCAGCCAAACATTTTGACCTTATCTCTTTGAAGATAATTTATGATTATAATTTTTTAAATTTTTTTTTGGATAAGTAAGTCATAGTATAACAAAAAAGGAAAGATATACAATGAAATTCAATACACATTTTTTGTGTGGAGAATAAACATAAACAAAAAACAAATTACTTCCTCAAAAGAAACAAACTAAGCCTATAGACGACAAACAAAACATACACAACAAAGGGTTCAAAATTTCCCTCTAGCACTCTTCAAGTAATGAAGTTTCAATTTGAGTTTTCTTTTGTTATCCTCTTTTGTAGTCTCTCCATTAATGGGATCACTTGGAGATGGACTTCTTCTACTTTTTAGGTTCTTTGTTTGACACAATTATTCTTGATTTAATTCTCCATTCCCCAACTCTCCTATATTATATGATTCAAGGACATCAAAAGCATTAGATGTTGATGGGGTGAAACGCTGCGTCTCTCCCTCTTTATTTATCACTGTCGTTGAACCTTGCCCATCATCTCTTCCTTTTTTTCTTTCACCACTTCCCACTTAGTTGGAACTTGTATGTTAGTCTCCTTAACTCTCCACTCTTGTTTGGAAGATGGAGGGTTCAAGGTCTTTGGCTTCTGAGGGCACAAATTAGTGGTATGACCAAAAGTCTTACAAACATCACACTTTTGAGGCTTCCATGGAACCTTAACTTGAATCTCATATGGGTCATCATAACCAAGATTTATTTTGAAAGACTCAGGGATCTCTTTATTTGCTGGCACTTCAATACATATTCTCGCCAACGTAAGTCTACTTCTCTTGAACGTAGGCTCATCCAAATAAAGATGAGTTCCTATGATGCTAGCAATGCAACCCAAATCTTCTTCAGTCAAAAGCTCTAAAGGAACATTATACAACTTCATCCACAACGGTACACTCGAAATTTTTTTAAATTATTAATTTAAAAGAATTAAAATAATTCTCATGTAACTTTTCATGGTCTATGAGAAAAGTTAAACCTGTTTAATTAGATAAATTCATATAATTATTATTATTTTTTTTACAAATATTCAAAATGCCCTCAAATTATAATTAAGACCCCCAAAAAATCTCAGTTTCAATTAAATTAAAAAATTATGAATTCTAACTAAAGAAACTTTTTTGAACTAAATAAGTTGTATATTTTAAATAAATTATAATATAAAACTGTATCTAAACACTATTAATTATAATTCACTTATAAATTATTCAATGAGATCATTCTCTCGCCATTTTCCTTTTCCCAAAAAATTTCAGGTGTAGTCTCTCAGCCTGGTAGAATGCCTAAATTGTAAGGTGGCCTCAAGAAAAGATTGACTGAAAATTTTAACCATTAATTCGCTCTACAAAATTTGATCCTATGACTTCTCATATGCAAATCATAGACCCTAACGAGTCTCATACAACCCAATTAATTTACCAAACGCTGTCTAACAACCCCCCAACGAGGAAAAAGTATATGATTATATGGTAAAGTCTTAGGACAAGTATATGTAATGTCCCAACTTAATTTTTATTGATTAAAATAATAAAATTCAAAATACTTTTTTATGCTTTTTAAAAGACAACATGATAAATATCATGTGATGAATAGTATAAAACATCAGTCCAAAACTATCAAATACCCAACATTGATTTACACCATTCAACACATGACATTTGTTATATTGTCTCTCATAATCTCGACAAAAAATACCAAGTCCCACTATATTAACCAATAAAACTTCAAAACCACCAAATAATTTTCCCTCCCCAACAAGCCAGGTGCACACTAGAATACTATATTAGCATATATGCCTGAGGATATCTTCTATCCTATATAACCATTTTTAATCCTTCCCAACATTAAGGCTTCAGTAAATGCCTTAAGGCTTCCCAATCCATTGAAAGATGAGAAAATTTTTCAAACATTGGAAGAGATAAAGAAGAAAAGATTACAAAAGGCGCTACTTGTTTGTTCCTCACCATTTTCTTAAAAAGAGTTGGCATGGCCATTATTAGCCATTACAAGAGTGGAGAAGGGCTAACAACTATATGCTTGAGAGGGTGATCCACATCATCACCACCTGCATGCTTCACAAACTCGGCCGGTGTGAGAAAGCTGCCATGGCATACGCACACGATTCTCACCTCCTCTCCTTTCCTATACCTGTATAGAAAACCTTCAATTCTTTTCCCGTTGGGCCCCACACCACGTGTCGATACGCAAGGCATATCCGCCATCATATTCCTCGTGATGGCTTTGCTATTCTCCGTCACAAGCTTTACTGATTTCCCAGTTGCTGTTCCAGGGGCGGTGACTATTGGTTTTTGCTCATTCTGCGTTGGCAGAGACTGGTCATTGGTGGGGCTTCTATCTTCTGTGCATATGTTCATCCCTGCGATGTGACACAAAAACATGATGATAAGGAAATCAAACAGTCGTGTACAAGTAAAAAAAAAAATTAATTACATATAATAATCTTTTACTGGCTCATTGGGTGTTATAATGAGCTTCTAAAAGAGAAAACACCTTGCCCTGTTAAAGATTTGGCATGGAGCTCTTTGAGATGAGTTGTTAAGCGATTTTATATAATCCCAAACAAACTTAACGGTAATCAAGAAGAAATTATGTTGATATCTACTCGCTTACAAGAAACACACATTAAAAGAAACTTTCTGTCTACAGTCCTAATACTTTGGTTTCATTTAATCAAAATATTATGAATTTGTTGGTTTTAACAAGATTTGATGACATGCTTTTCAAGTTCAAGTAATTAGATTTCCCCTTTAATAGTCATGTTAAAAAACTTTACTTACCAAAGAAATTATCTTTGGAAGCATAGTCCTATTGAAACCTTATTTATACACACCATGGTCAACTCCACAAGAAAACTGTGGGGCTAAACTACTCTGAAGTATTATGCACCTGCATTCTTATTTTAACAACATACAGGAGGGGAATAGGGATAGGAAAGTTGCAAAACTCAACAATAAGACTCTAATGTAGACATCACACCCGATAAGGTAGTACCTCACTAGGCCAACTCTACTCTTAAGTTCAGTATTTAGTTTGGTTTAAACAAGTAACAAGCGAATAAATAAATAAACTAACTAACTAACTAATTAATGTCACTAGAACAGTATCAATTTCTTGTATACAAAAAAGGATCCATTATTACTTGTGTATCGAAGCTCATCTTCAAGCACTGCCACCTGTACCAATGCACGGTGGCATAATTGTTGAAATCTAGCTGCACAAATTTTTAGACTTGCTCACTCATAGCAGGCACTACACTGAAATTGCCTAGCTTTGAATCCCATTCTCAACAGTTCCTTATTGAGAGGAAAAAATTAAACTACCATCCTTCACTGGAATTTGAAGTATATAAAAAAAATGGTTGCTCATTTATGCTTAATGTGAAGTTTACGGAAGCAGTAGTGTAACCAGAGGACTTTTGAGGAAGTATATGTGGGGACTCATAAACTCAAAATGGCACTTTTACACTGCTTCTTTTTTTATTAGAAGCAAAATATTGTAGTTCTGCTTTTGCTTTTATTGAATTTATGGGGCACTTATCTTTTGTAGATGTTCTATGGGTGTTTCTTTGAAATCCATCTATTGTATACTCATGATGTGAACAGGTTGGGCCCCTTTTGGCACCTTTTGAAAGAATCATTTACCATTTAAAATAAGGAAAAAATGAACAAGAAGTAAAGGTTATAGAGCAACAAAGAGGGTAAGAATCTGTAGTAAAGGTTATAGAGCAACAACGAGGGTAAGAATATGGATTACTTGAACACTTAAATCCAAATTAAATATCAGAACTCTCTCTCTCTCTCTCTCTCTCTCTCTAAAGGATGCCAGAAGAAGAATTTCTTATTAGACAGTAAAAGAAAATTATAGGGTCTTACATGGATGAGATATAGAATTGCCCTTTAACCCCCTAGATCCCATTTAATTTAAAGCATGTCTCAATATTATACAATATACAACATAGTTATTTGTTTATTTTTTGATAAGCCATTCAATATGCAATTAATGCAAATGTATAGGATGTGTCCAAGTCTATGTACAGAATTTTCAATTACATGTCCATATATCTTAAGATTGGGTTTAAGAGGTTCGATGCCTACAATCAATACTCATATCCTAGCCATGCAACATAGGACTAAACCATATATATCTAATTGCCAAAAGCATATCCTTTTCCGTCTTTGAGGTCACATTCCGAATGAATAAGTTCCTTTTACCGCTGATATATTAGCTTTTACCGCAAACCCCATCATTTTTTTATTAAAAAAAATAATAACTATAAAAATTAAAATTAAAACTCTGGATCTTGTGCTTAGGCAGTGTTCACATGGTAAATATAGTAGGTTTAACTGAACAAAATACAGTAACAAAGATGGAAGGGCAACAATGTAAATAAGAACCAGTTGTACCATATTTCACAAAATAATGAAAGAAGGAATATGATCCACAAACATAAAGTTACACCAATTTAGATAGAAAGTTTAACTAGAGAGATGAGGAGTAAATAAGCAGCAATTGTACCATATTCCACAGGAAAATTATTAGTAGGTCTAAAGTAGCACATGGTGCATCTCATGTACATGTAACATGCTTATATAGTCTTGGAATACATGTGCTTGATCCTTGTGAACTAACAAGAAAAATATAGCCTCCGGGCCTCGATTCCTTAGGGTCTATCTCAAAGGTCACCCTTCTATAGTTAGGCTTTTTTAACATAGGGAATACAAGGTTTTAATCCTTTCCTTATGAGAGGAATAACCTCTCATCATCTTTATTAGCAGGTCTATTCTATCTTAGCGTCCACATGTCCCAACATCTATACAAAGGATTGCATATGGGCAATATTGAAGAAGTTCTTTCTAGTATATTGCTGCTGCCTTTCTTGCAACTTTCATTCTTTTAGAACTATATGGTATGGTTCAGCTACCTACCCGATTGAATTATTTGGCCCACTCCTTATCAATGAGATCAGGGTACTTCCAGCAAGAAACATATCGAATAGTCGGACCTCGGTTAGCTGAAAATCAAAATTTAGTACTTGATAGTCTCACAAATGACAAGTTATCTCTTATCTCCTAACATGGATGACTGTTGAGAGCAATATTATGTGATACTTCGGAACTACTTCTAGAATTACTGAATAATTACACATTTCACACCATAATCTAAACTCATATAAAGTGATAAGGTGCATTTAAGGCCCCGTCTGTGAATAGATTTTTACAAAAAGATGCATAAAAAAATTGAGAGAATGATGTGATAGGAGTGTTTTGTTTTATTTTATTGACTATTAAGGCGTAGTTTGGCATGCAAGTCTGCTTAAAAAAATGAAACAACCTATAACTTGTACCAAAAAATTAAAAAAAAAAAATTCACTCTATTTTTTTATATATTTTCGTAAAAAATTAAAAAATCATTCTAAATATACTAATTTTTTTGCTTTATATTTTAACTAAAAAATACTAAAATATTTTAACTAAAAAACTAAAAAATTACTAAACCGAGGCCCAAGTAAACAAAAAAAATCATTGTAATATAAACTCACGACCAACTGGGTTTGTCTCAGTCGGTCAAATCCTAGTCATGATTTTGAGGGACAAACAAATTTGATTTCTTCTTCATTCTAAGGTTTAAATCCAGCAATTACCTCGTATTTAAAACCGGTAATTAGTTCATATATGTTGTGATACGAAGAAAGATAAAGAAGAAAAAAAAAAATTTAAAAATGCAGTACCTTGCGGATGGGTCGGTTGAGTCTCAGATTCTGAAATCCCAGAAGACCCACTCCCTCTGGACCCAATTGAACCCTGCGACGACGGCTGTGGTGGCAACCCGTCCGCTCCGCCGCCTCTTGTTGAACCCTTCACGGCCACTGGGCCTTGACTAACAACGTACTCTTCTTCACCATTGGCTTCCACACCACTGATCATTATTCCCACCTGATCTCTCACCACCGTAGTTCTCACATTCTTCATCTTCTCCAATCGCTTCCTCTTCGCCTCCATACGCCTCATCGACTGAATCTCCTTCCTCTTCCTCCACTCCTCTTCTGTCTCCGTAGGAAGCGAACACGTCCTTATCAGCGGCGCATACGCCATCCCTTCTGCCACACGCGCCGCCTTCGTGTTGTTGTGGTCGGTGGTGGTGGTGGTGGTGGTCAACATGAAGTCTGATATGGAAGATGAACGAGTCAGCATCGTATTTGCCCTCTTTGGGTCAATCCCAAATCGACCATTCAACGAAAGCCCAAGACTCAGCTCTATCTCTTCCTCTTCCTCCTCTTCCTCCTCATCTGCTGTTAATTTTCTCGGAAAATAATTCCCGGGTCTAAATCTTTGCATTAGATCTCTCGGGTGACCGTTCTTCTGCGGGGTTATATGATTATTTTGAGCTTCACCCATTTCAATACAACGATGAACGATGGTTTAAAATCAGAGATTACCCAGATGGGTTGTTTCAATTAACAAGTAGATTTTCTCAGCAAAATTGAAGGGTTTAACGATATTTACAGAATTTAACGAAATTGACATCGTTTCCACGAATCACAACCTCTGATTTTTCTGCTGTTTTCCCGGAAAAAATCGCCGGCGGCCATGACAGGAAAAACGGGAGAGAGAGAGAGAAGAGAGATGGAGAGAGGAGAAAGAGGAAAAGGAAGTGGAAAGAGAGAAGATTTTAATTTCCATGAGACTGAAATGACGAAAATACCCATCATAATGGAAACGAAAACGAGCATGTAGACGACACGTCGAGTAAAAAAAGAGAGCACACACAGACCACGTGGTTATGATAACCTGGTTTTGAGGCGACGCCAAACAAGCGTCTCCGTCCTCTGCGAAAGGTGTCAAATATGTTTGGGTTTTCGACATCACACGTGTCGATCGTAGTACGTGGAACTGGACTAACCTGCCAAGTGGCAACAAAATCTCGGCATCGTAAAGCCGCGATCTCTCTGTCTCTCTCTTTTTCTCTTTCTCTCTCTAAAAGTTCTAATTACATTAGCTGTCTTCCAGAACAGAGGACCGTGGTGGAACTGAATTTCAACACGTGGCTGACAGGCTCGCCTGTGGAGCCACGCCATACGATAGTTCGCGTCTCTGTCTCGTCATGAGTAATTATTGGGTGTTTCTCACACGACCACGTGGTGTATAAAGAATATTGTAATTGGTAAAAAAATAAAATCCAATATTAAATAATTGGAAAATTTGAGAAATATAATGTATAATGATTAATAAAACGTATAAATACGACGCTCCAAGATCATTTAGGCGTCTTTTTGGGAAGTAGAAAAAAAAAAAAATCAACTTTTAAAATTTTATCCATTTTAAATTACATTACTTTTCATATTTTTTATTTATAAAAAAATGAAATAAATTAAAAAAATAAAATATTTAACTTTTTATCGGCTTTTTAAAACACCACTTAAGCCTCGTTTGGCAACCTAATTTTTTACTAAAAAGTTACTAAAATTAGCTAAAAAGTCAACAATTCATATCAAAAAGTCAAAGATTCTCTTTTTTCTTTACTTTTTGCACATCTTTTTGTCAAAAAGTCATCTCAAATATATTAATTTTTTTAACTCATATTTTTACCAAATAAACAAAAAGTTACTAAGAGGTTGTTTGGAGTGTCCTAAATAAGTGTACTTTTTTGTCTTTTTAGACTAAAAAATTAAGGCAGAAAATATGAATGTTTAAGTTAATTTTTTTACTTTTTATGAAAAAATATGTAATAAAAAATTATAAAAATTGATTTATAAAAAAAAATTAAGATTGAAAGTTATGCCGCTGTAATTGTTGACTTTTAATAAATAGTGTTAACTTTCTAACTTTTTAAATAATTTTTTAACTTTTTAATTTTTTTACAATATGTCAAACTTGATCTAAATTAACATGTTCCCACATGGGGCTTTAATAATTTTTTGTCGTTCAGATTCAGCTACGCGAAAGGCTCTCATGGCGTGTGGTTCGTATCGCTCGGAGAGATTGACACCCACCAGTAATGGCATCTTAGTAGTTTAAAGTGCGATGATAACTTCAAAATCCCGCATCCTCGCATGCATTATGTAGCCGCATGTCGTTTGGGATTGGAGAGCGTTTTTTTTAACAAAAATATTAAACATCACAAAAATTTTATTAAAATTATTATTAAATATTTTATATGAGTGTGAGATTCACGTGATATTCACATGATGAGGATCACACACCCATGATAGAAATGATAGAAATTTTCGTAGAATTTTTAAAATATCTTATATTATTTTTTTTAAAGATAAATTATGCTTTCGCCTATTAAATTATAATTTTTTTTCAATTTAGTCCTTGAAGGTAGATTATCCAACTTTATCCCTAAATTATTTACCATTTCCCACATTAATCCAATTTAAAATGCCATGCGGCATGGATCAATTTGACCCCAAACACAAACCAAGGGTAATTCATTGAATTTTTTTACACACATTATTTCGCACTTTATTATTTAACCCCATGACTCTATTTCCCCTCCCCTCTCTTAACTCCTCTCTTCTTTCCTCAAAATGCCACAATCCTTTTAGACTAAGTTTGACAAGTTAAAAAAAAGTCAAAAAAATTAAAAAGTTATTCAAAAAGTTAAAAAGTTATCACTATTCATCAAAAGTCAAAAATTACGGCTGCACAACTCCTAATTCTAATTTTTTTCTACACACTAATTTATACAATTTTTTAATACACATTTTTTTTTTTATAAAAAGTCAAAAAGTTAACTCAAACAATCATATTTTTTTTCTCAGCTTTTTAATTCAAAAAGTCAAAAAATATACTTATTTAGGACATCCCAAACAATCCCTTATTATAACCACTTCTACTCCACTCGTACCATCAATTCGGGGTCTTTTGGAAAGTAGGTTATAATAGTTTTTAACAAAAAAATTGATTATAACCATCTTCTCAAAATAGCCCTTCATGGTTGGTTTGAAAATTAATTTTTTTAATTTAAAAAAAAAAGTGTAAATATTTTTTGAAAAAATGATGTGATTAGATATTTTAATTTTTTAACTATTTTAACTAAAATAAAAATAAAAACGTTAACCCCAAACGGGACCTCAATAACCCCAACCATTTTCCTTGCCACCCTTATTCCTACCATAGTCATTTTCCACCTCTACGCTCCAACTTTTGCCACTGTAAAGCCAATAATCCAAAATCAAACCTTTTCCACCCAACATTTTATTTATTTATTTATTGAATTGTGATATTTACGTTACACTTTAATGTTGTGTTTAATTAGAAGATTTGAACAGAGATTTAGAAAGAGAAATGAAAAAAATAAGTAAAATGAGAATAAAATATGTCTAAATTTCACATAATTTCACACACCTTTTCTCTTTTCTTTTCCAAATTCCTCCCAAAATCTTTCAACCAAACACGGCATAAGTCTTTCACGTTTTTCTCTTTTTGTTTTTTATTCTTTCACGAATAAAATACTTGAGGCCAATCGTAGACCAATAGTAGAGTGTGAATGTTATTAACTGACAATATTATTTGTGGAAACATATTTTTTGGATTGTCAATGTGGTTGAGGTTGTTAGTTTAGGTGTCATGTGATGGACCAAGTCGCTAAGATATGATGTGATCATATATAAATTTGAAATATTCAAGAGTCTTAGATGACATCAAACTACTTATTTGGTTAAAAATGAGATTCTCGAGAAAATTCATTTTAATTTGAATAGTGTGAATTGTGATAGATATTTTCCTTATAAATGATAGAGTCTCATGAATTAAGACTTTTAAGAGAAGTTGTACATTAATCATTACAAAATAAGGCATCCTATGAGTCTAAGGTATGCTTTGACTTATGCATTGAGTACTTGTGTGATATGTTTGAGAGATTGTTTGACTGACTTGATTGTCTCCTGGGTGGACGAACTGCCGCGATATTTTCATCTTCTTGTGGGCAAATGATTGACTTAATTTATTTTGCCTCGTGCTCTATAGCTAAGTTCTCTGTTTAGTTAAGTGATCGGAAATCAACACGCACATAATTTTTTATCTATATAATTTATATATTATTAATAAAAAATGATAAAAATATTATGTAAATTAAAATTTTAAAAAAATTAATATAATATTAAAAGTTTAAGATTGACTATATACTCTTTAAAGTTTAAAACAAAGCAATCATACTTTACATTTTCTTAACCAACTCCCAAGAAAATCTAGATACACCCATTAAAATTTTCCCCACCACAACTGGCTCTAAGGTATAAGGATTTTATATTTGTATCTAGATGAGATAATTTAGATTTCTTTTGACCCTAACCAAAGTTAGATTAATCAGTATTGTATAGTTTAATTAAACAAAGTGGTATGTTTTTTAAGACTATTTTAATGTCAAGTTGGGCCAAGAGGAATCTCCCAAACAACAAAGCAAAGTAATAAGAAAACAAAAAAAACGATAATGCTACGTAATTTAAATTTTGTGGTTTAAAAGTGACTCAAATAGTCAAAACGACGTCGTTTTGAGTACAGAACAACATAAAAATGGCCAAAACGACGTCGTTTTGGCCATTTAAATCACTTTTAAGCTATAAAATTTGAGTTACGAGACATTTTCCAACAAAAAAAAAATCAAGGATCTGAGATCAGGGCTGGACCCCAAGAGGATCAACTTGCACTTTTTTTTTCAAACGGGTACGGGTCATCTGGGTAACTGCCACGCGTATTAGAGTAGTTGTTGGATACACGTGTCTCAACGTGGTTGCAGATCAACAGCTAAGCAAGCACCAACTTGCCGAAGGCGACGTGTCCGGCTATAAATGAGAAACCCCATCGCGTCATACGTATCTACAGCGTTTTGCCACCAATCTAGCTTCGCGCCAAGCGCGTGCACCGAACTTTTTTATTTTTCTTTTATGTTATTTTATAAAAATTTTGAAAAAATTATTGAAAAATTTATAAGCCATTAAGTTTAATGAATATTTTGTATTAGTAAAAAATCTTTATTTATAAAATAGTTTGATAAAAAGTCATTTCTTTGATTTTAGAAGATATTTTATTTTTAATTTTACCTTTTAATTTATTTGTTAACTTTTTTTATCTGTTGATTTTTTGTTAATTATCTATTTAAATTTATATCTACCTGTTCAATTTTTTGTTCAATTTATTCAATTTATTTTGTCTATCTATTGAGATTCTAGTCTTATTTTTTCTTATCTGTTAAAATTTCTATTTGTGTTAAAATTTTTGTCTTATCTTTCTTTATCTGTAAAGATTTTTGTTCTCATTTTTTTTAAGGGTTGAAATTCAAACTTATTTTCTCCCATTTGTTGAATTTTACAACCCTAATTTTTCTATCAATTTATCTTTTTATTTGTGAAAAGTCATTATATATATATTTTATCAATTGAAATTTAAATTTTTGTGATTGAAATATACTAAACCTCGATCTGTTCAAATCCTATCTGTCAAATTTTTTTAATATGTTATAATCTATTTCATTATCACTGTGGGGACATAATTTTTGAATGACAACACGTGACCGAGGTGTCACCGAAGTGCCACATGTCCTGGTCATGACGTCGAGATGATCTTGGCTAGGCTGAGGTTATCTACGAAGAAACCAGAATCCGGGATAAGCGAATAAGGGACAAGAGTCCTAGAATGAGAGAGGACTTCAGTTTGGGAAAAGATAAGACTCTTAGAGAGTTTATCCCAGTCTAACTGGGAGTCCAAG